ACAAAGGGGGAAAAAGACACATCTAGGGGTGGATTCCTTTTCCAACCATCTTTTCAACCATCGTTCTTTCAAAAACCGATCGCCATTTTCCCTGGTTTCCGGAGGTTTTCTAGAAAGATTTGGATCCCTGCAAAGAATGGGGAAGTATCCCTAGAATCCCTAAATGCGGCGAGATTACCAGACCGAATGATATTTCTAACGGAACAAATAATGGAACTCGGGGGTCCACGTTTTTTGGGATTACCCCAAAAAAACAGACTTGTTTCAGGACTTCTCCTCGGGGAAATAAACCACCGGGTTCAGGTCTATGGGGTAATCCAAAAGTGGAACCTGATCAACAATGGAACTTCTCTTCCAAATGTCACATATTGGGAACCCGAGGAACAAACAGGGGAAGTATTGGGAACCCAAGGAACAAAACGGGGAACATATTGGGAACCCAAGGAACAACAAGGGGAACATATTGAGAACCCAAGGAACAAACCGAGAAATACTGGGAACCCAAGGGACAAAAAGGGGAACATATTGGGAACCCAAGGAACAAGCTGAGAAATACTGGGAACTCAAGGAACAAAAAGGGAAACATATTGGGAACCCAAGGAACAAAACGGGGAAACAACTGGGAACCCAAGGAACAACAAGGGGAACATATTGAGAACCCAAGGAACAAACCGAGAAATACTGGGAACCCAAGGGACAAAAAGGGGAACATATTGGGAACGCAAGGAACAAAAAGGGAATATATTGGGAACCCAAGGAACAAAAAGGGGAACATATTGGGAACCCACTGAACAAAACGGGGAATATATTGGGAACCCAAGGAACAAAAAGGGGAACATATTGGGAACCCAAGGAACAAAAAGGGAATATATCGGGAACCCAAGGAACAAAAAGGGGAAAATATTGGGAACCTAAGCAACAAAAAGGGGAACATATTGGGAACCCACTGAACAAAACGGGGAAAATGTTGGGAACCCAAGGAACAACAAGAGGAAATATTGGGAACCCAAGGAACAAAAAGGGGAAAACATTGGGAACCCAAGGAACAAAACGGGGAACATATTGGGAATCCAAGGAACAAAACGGGGAACATATTGGGAACCCAAGGAACAAAAAGGGAAACATATTGGAGACGTGATCCGGAGAACCTGGTCGAGAATGTGATTCGCGCGCGAATCCCGAATCCCGAATCCCGAATCCCGGATCTGAGGATGGGGCCTTCGCAGTCCCGAATCCCGAATCCTGAATCCCGAATCCCGAAAATGTGATTCGAGTCCCGAATCCCAAATCCCGAATCCCGAAAATGTGATTCGAGGCCCGAATCCCGAATCCCGAATCCCGAATCCCGAAAATGTGATTCGAGGCCCGAATCCCGCATCCCGAAAATGTGATTTAATCCCGAAATGTGATTAAATCCCGAATCACGAAATTGGCAGCGACCTCCGGATCGCCACTCACATATTGGGAACCTGGGACCCCATATGGCCGTTTTTTTTAGGTCATTCCACTTTGACCGCAAAAAATGCTTTACGTCATTGACCTAAAACAACATGCTTTACGGCTTTTGTTCAATCGAAAAAAACTATGGGTTTCATACGGGTGATTTACGCAAATGACCGAGAAATCATGGCCATACGGGCAAATGTGGCCAAATACGGGAGTTTGACCGGAAAAAAACAGACCATGCGGGGTGCCAGGAACCCAAGGAACAAAAAGGGAATATATTGGGAACCCAAGGAACAAAAAGGGGAACATATTGGGAACCCACTGAACAAAACGGGGAATATATTGGGAACCCAAGGAACAAAAAGGGGAACATATTGGAAACCCAAGGAACAAAAAGGGAATATATCGGGAACCCAAGGAACAAAAAGGGGAACATATTGGGAACCGAACCCAAGGAACAAAAAGGGGAACATATTTTGGGAACCCAAGGAACAAAAAGGGGAACATATTGGGAACCCACTGAACCCCCAACCTTGGTTCTCCTTGGAGACAAGTAGTTACCGTTGGTAACCTACCTTGTAGTAACCATGGTTACCTACTTACACTGGATGTGTCTCAGTATACCCAACGCCATCCCCTTTACGGTTGATGACGATAAACATGGCGCCATTCCTCGCGATCACCAGCATCACCACCCAAATGGGCTTAAAACGGTCTCACGTCCAGGAACCCGCCCACACAGTTGGTTGCTTTGAATACGAAGAATACCTATCCTGAAAAACTTGGGTGCTGTAGATCCCCCAGCAAAAAGTTTAACTTTTTGCTCCCGCATCTTCATGTTCGGTAACATGGCCGGACAATGTCGGACCAAGAACCGGAGGTCAGATAGAACGAGGTACCCAAGCGCTTACCTTTTTGCTGGTTAAAAGGAAATATGAGGGACCGTAGAATTTAGTAGTTGTTGTTTTTTTTCCTGTAGAATAAGGGTACCAACTCTTTCTCCTGCAGTCTATTTTAGTAGGGGAACCGAATCTCCCAACCAAAAAAGGGGAGAGAAGGGCACTGGGAGACCTAGGAATGTTTCAGGCATGCCCTATACTGCAGCTTGGCAATCGGGTCCCTTGACTCCCGAACAAGCCTTTCCCACAACTCAGTTGGGTCTGCTGCCAAGGCACCCCAAAATGGGTCTGTCTTTTCCGGCTTCACAACCCTTGGCAGGCGAGCGACAACCATTTTTTGCAGCCCCCCTGCTAAAAATCAACAGAACCAAAAACCAAAAACACGGACTTGCCAGGAACAGTAAAGTGTTGGTTTCCCTTTAAAACCACCAAAACATGGGGTGACCTGTCAACTCCAAATTAATTCGGAGCCACCCCAGATTTGCGTCGTTCCAAGCAACGCATTGAGTGCACCTTTTCCCTTCTTTCAGCACAGTTTTAGCGCCTCAGATTTGCGCCGTCAATATAAGAACAGTACCAGATCACAAGCTCAGCTGCTCTCGCACCTGGCTGCTGTCTCCACCATCTTGTGGTTCACCCCAGGTCACGACAGCCCCAGATTCAAGAATGGCAGCAAAAGCTCTGCCAGTTGCTTGGATGCTCTGGACGTTCCTCAGCTGCTCGTGCACCTGGCTCCTGTCCCCGCCTGCTTCTGGATTACCCCAGGTCACAACCGAACCGGATTCAAGAATGGCAGCAAAAGCACCATCGTGGGTTGCTTGGATGTGACGGACGTTCCTCAGCTGCTCGTGCACCTGGCTGCTGTCTCCGCCAAAGCCTGGATGGCCCCATGTCACAACAGCTCCAGATTCAAGAATGGCAGCAAAAGCACACCGAGTTGCTTGGATGCTCTGGACGGTCCTCAGCTGCTCGTGCACCTGGCTGTTGTCCCCGCCTGCTTCTGGATGACCCCAGGTAACAACAGCACCGGATTCAAGAATGGCGGCAAAAGCACACGCAGTTGCTTGGATGTGCTGGACGTTCCTCAGCTGCTCTTGCACCTGGCTGTTGTCCCCGCCTGCTTCTGGATGACCCCAGGTAACAACAGCACCGGATTCAAGAATGGCGGCAAAAGCACACGCAGTTGCTTGGATGTGCTGGACGTTCCTCAGCTGCTCTTGCGCCTGGCTGCTGTCTCCGCCGAAGAATGGATCACCCCAAGTCAAGACAGCCCCAGATGCAAGAATGGCAGCAAAAGCACCGTGCAGCAAAAGCTCCACCAGAAGCTGCTTGAATTTGGTGTACGTTCTTCAGCTGATCTTGCACCTGGCTGCTGTCTCCATCACCCCAGGTCACAACCGCCCCAGATTCAAGAATGCCAGCAAAAGCATCGCCAGTTGCTTGGATGCTCTGGACGTTCCTCAGCTGATCCTGAACCTGGCCGCTGTCTCCGCCAAAGTGTGGATGACCCCATATCAGAACACTTCCAGATTCAAGAATGGCAGCAAAAGCACACTGAGTTGCTTGGATGCTCTGGACGTTCCTCAGCTGCTCGTGCACCTGGCTGCTGTCTCCACCAAAGTCTGGAAAGCCCCAGGTCACAACCTCGCCCTCGTGCCTCGCTCAGCGTGGCTGTCGAATCGAGCTGCCGGCCTTTTGCAGTGAGCTTTAAGCGGCGCTGAAAATGCTGCTGTGCTGCAGCCTTCAGCTCGCTGATGGGCGTCTCCGGTGAGATTTCTATGAAGCAGCCATCTCCACTAGGCAAGTGAACATCCACCTTCATGGCGAGGGAAGGTTCGTGCATGCGCATGCAAGTTGCCAAACACGAACCTGAAACACAAAACAGGAAAAGCCAACCTTTCGAAAAGCATGTTCAGTGCCAACCGTTTGCGAGGCTTCAAATCTGATTGGACGGATTCGGACAGATCCTCGAGCTGAAGCAGATCGACATCGGAAGGCGATTCCTGGCAGACTCTGAGGAAGACCATGGCGACAGCAGCGCCTTGGTCATACAACGGACACCTACTCCAAACGACCAACCGTTTTTTGAACATCATGCCGAACCCTGATGAAGGAATCTACCATGGAAAGCCAGGTTGTTCGAAAAACATAGCCTGACATAGCCTTGAAAACAAGTATTCGGAGTAGGGGGTACCACCCGGAGGGCACCCAACAAGGTCCTGAAAAATATCCGAAGTGTCGCAAAGAAGGCCAACTTGTCCTGGATGGTAGCCAAACCATTCCCCACCAGTAAACGCCAAGAAATTGCCAAGGCTGTCTTCTCATAGCTCCATTTGGCGCGGGTCAAAAAATTGAGGGCCACTTTGGCAAATGGAACTAAGGACGATTCGTCTGGTGACTAAAATTCCCTAAATGGTCATATCTGTCTGTCCTTTTTGTTTTTTGAGGGTCCTGTTTTGAAGGGAAACCAACAGCAAACTTCCGTTTGCTCAAGCCCCCTGGAAAAAATCCTAATATTTCCAGTTGTCATAGGTTCCCTTTAAAACCAACAAGGGAAAATCAAGCATATTCTTAAGTAAGTGGAAGTGAACCGCTCGTTTTCCCCGACTCTTCGCTTCGTTCGCGACGTCTTCCCGAGGCGCCTGGACACCACTCTTCCGAGAGGAGCGGCTCCTGCGAGGGCGCGAACCGCGGCGCGAACCGCGGCCCTTTTGCCGTTTGAGTTTGGTTCCCCCGCCTTTGGCAGGATTCAAAGCACCCGTGGCGCCACTTTGGGCCGGCCTTGAATTTCAACACGCCCATATACCCCTTTCAGGGGGGTCTTTTTGCCACCTTTGGTGGACAATTGATCGACCCGGTGAAGGATTCCTTTTTGAAGGGGTTGGCAAGTCTCTCAGAAAAGGTAGCCCCCCTTTCTTGGTTAACGTTGGAAGGGGAGCAAAACATTGAATTTTAGCAGTTCAGTGGGGATTTGAACCACTCAACCACAACAAGCAAACATGTAAAATGTTTCCCAACAACAACCATGCTTTGGTGGGATTCAAAGGGACACCCCAAGGAAAGCCGTTGCGACATTTTGGGGGTCCGACCTTAAATTTCAACACGCCCATATAGGGTACCGCGCAAACTGAATGATCTGGTACTTGCAATGTTCATTCAAAACAAGGTCCCCCATCAGGGTTGTGGCAAATGGAATCCGCTTCTGTGATACAACAAAAAGGGCTTTCCAAAGACTAACACCCCATATGAAGGGGGAAATTCCCGAAAGTATCACAGAAGTGGTTGAATAAACCCCGAGTGATTCCACAAGCCTGTCCCCCAATTGTTTCCGCAGGCGCGGAAAGCTTTTAGATGCAATTGGCATAGCCGAGACAATACCTAAGAGTGAGTCTCGGCTCCGACGACCCGAATCCCATTGTGCCTGCTGGCTGCACTTCCCAGTTAGCATGCATATGTTCCGCACACGTCACATGAAATGTCAGAAAACAAACAAACAAACAAGCAAGCAAGCAAGCAAACGTACAAACATACAAACATGCAAACATAGGAACGAACAAATGAACAAACCCGCAACCAACCAACAAACGAGCAAGCAAACAAACAAACAAACTAACTAACTAACTAAACGAACGAAAGAAAGAAAGAAAGAAAGAAAGAAAGCAACAAACAACCAGCAAGCAGGCAAGCAAGCAGGCACGCAAGCACGCAAGCAAGAAAGCAGGCACACAAACAACCCATGACTTGATCTTGACATTGATTCGGCCGGCCTTGAAGTGCCTCCGCCTCAGCTAAGCTTTCGCCCGAAAGGAAACCAGCGATTGTAGGGGCCTCGGGCCTCATGGTCTGAATCCCAAAGGGAACAACCCCCTATTGGGGGTGTCTCAACATACCCCAAGAATGGTGCTTTCCTTTTGGCTTCCCTTTCAAGCAAGGTAACATGGTGCTACCTCCAAAAAAAGGTCCCGCGCCCAATCTGTCAACTAGTTCTACTTTCCCTGCCCACGAACATGGAGCCGACCAAAGGGCCCCCTTTAGAGGAAAATGCTTTTCCGCGATGCCCCAGTTGGGCTTCATGTTTTTGGATGGGAGTGTTTGTTTTTGCTCAGGCCAATCCACTCAAGTATAATATAGGGTGTTATTGGAGAGGTAGTCAGGGTTCACTGAACTTTCCCAAATCAAGTGTTGATCAGTTTTTACTGGTGGCTTCCACTAAAACGATCGAAGTCCACTTTTGGAGGTTCCCTTGAAAGCGGCGAAAACGAACTGGTTCCCATTATTTCCACTAAAAAGATCAAATTCCACTTCTGGAGGTTCCCTTGAAAGCCATTAGATCTACACTCGGTGCCCGGCCAACGCTCGAGCGGAGGTTCGGACTACTGGCCGTGGCCTGGTCGCGGTTGTTCGCCTTTTTCCACCGGAAAATGGTACTGGGCTCGTCCAATTGTTTGGCGTTGGTGCCCATTGTGGGGTTGGCAAAAATATCCAGTTGTTTCTTGGGAAGCAGGTCCAAAAAATATCCAGATGGTTTCCGGGGAACCAGGTCCCCAAATGGGTGAGACCCGGAAAGAATATCCAACTGGGCTCGTCCTGCCCTATTTTTGTAGTGGGTATTGTTTGGAGAACCGAGCGGTTTTTCAGGGTAACACCGATCCCTTTTTTAGTAGCGGGTTGACATACCCTAAAAATGAGGGTATCGGGTGTAAGTGTTTGGAGCCAGTGCCCATTGTTGGGTTGGTTGAATCTCCAACTGTTTTATCTTTTTTGCGAGGAACCAGGGTCTGCTTGTTTGAACTGGACACCATCTGTCCAGTTGATTCAGGAAAAATAACGACACGGGTGTGTCTTTTTTTTTAACCACCAGGAAAACAAACAAATTCCATGCTTGGGTCTGTGAGCAATCAAAAAGCTGGCGAAAAAAAAGCATGACCCTCCAAGACCGCGTTGAAGCCCTCGTGTGAACCATCTGGCTTTTCGGGAAACCAAAAGGTGTCCCCGAAATCCGTGTTGGGGGGGCGTTTCAAGAAACTCCAAAAATGGGCGGGAATCTCCCACTGGCGGTTTGTTGTGTTTTTTTTAGGGAAACCAAAGGGAACCAAAAAAGACACGAGCCACCTGTGCGTGTTGTGTCAACGTCAAGCGTCTCGCCTGGCTGGGCTGAAGCTTTCCAGCCTCGGCGGAGGCATTCCACTGCTGCAGAATTCCAGAACCAAGTCCAGACAACTTTCGGAAATTCAGGATTCTGCAGTTATTTGTCATTTGTCCAAAACCTGACATAAGGAATAGGGAATAAGGATTGGATCCCGAAGGTTGAGATATTTACCATGAGCTCGTCGTATTTTCCAGGTGTCGCCCATTTTAAAAAAGGCAAGTAAAGGTTCTCTTTACCATGAGCCTACCATCAGGTGTCGCCCGAAAAAGAAAAAAATGCGCAGGAGTCCATTCCAACAGTTCTTGGGTTGCGCTGGGTCCCTTGGGAGAATTCTTGAGGAGGGATGAGCCGTTGCGGGTACCCACAAAATCTCTCTCCACGGGATCCAAACCTTGGAATGGCATGGCAGCTGCCACGGATCTTTCTCTTCAAACAAAAAAATAACGAGAATACCCGGTTTAGCTCGTGCAGCCAACAAAGAAGCTTCATTCTGCAATGTCAGGTGACCAGCATGAAGTATTTTGCAACTGTATTGCTTGGGTCTGGATTGTGCTTCGGATCCAAAGAAAGCGCGACATACATTTCCGACATACTATTTCCGACATACTCATAAACATTCCGAATCCTTCCCTGGCTCTAGCACGAGCGATCCGTTTTGCTGCCTTGTTCTTCAAATCTGTCTGTTCGTGCACGGACATCTCCCAATTCCATTGGCCGGGCACAAGTCTGCAACCTAACAACAGGAGTAAAACCCTGATGGGGGTTGATCGGAAGGTCCTTGGCATGGGATAATCGTTATTCGGAAAACTATGATATGCCCTAAATGGGAAAAGTATGATCGGTCAAAACTGGTTTGACCCTAAACGGAATATGGATCAACCCCCCATATCCAGGCCAAGAACAAGGCTCGGCGCAGGTCCGAAACCGCACCGAATGCCCGAAACGGAGCAGGTTCTCAGCCCGCGGCCCTGCCGCGCTCCTGAGAACCCGACCCAAGGGGCTCAAAATTCGGGGAGACCTGCCAGCTTGGGTTCCTTCTGGCGTCCTGTTTTTTTTTAAGCACACCAAAAGGGGCTCCCCAAAAAAGAGACCCAGAAGCGGATGAGTGGAAGCACTGAGACGGCACCTTCCGGGCGAGCGGCACCTTTTCCATGACCATTTGGCTGTGGCGAATTCAAAAAACCGGAGAATTCCAAAATGGGTTGCCCGATCGGGAAGTGGAAACATGGACCAAAACCTGCGGTTTGCCCCTCCGATCGTTTAATTTTGAGCCACATCCATTTCTTGGCAGGACTCATCTGCAACCCGGCCTTTGTAAACCAGAATCCACGTGTTAAGACACACCATCCGTTCGGTGAAAGGCACGTGGATAGAAAGATCCCCATCACATCGTAGATCCGTGACAAGGGTTCCACTTTTTACCTCAAGATAGGCTTAAACCCAGGGGGTCTGCTTTTTGCAAACTTTGAGGGGAAGGAACCCCTGGGTTTAAGTCTACCCTAGGGTGGTCAAAAAGTACAACCCTGGATTCGTAGATGTGGCCATGGATCAAAATCCCGTGCCCCCAGTGAACATCCCAATCCCCATTAAAATAGACTAACATGGGTGGTGAATTCACCTACCCATCAAAATGGCACCTTTGGCTTTTGACAACCAAAGCCATGTTTGGTGTTCTTCTTGAAAGGCATCGCTGGTGCATGTCCGTTTCACCCGACAAAAGCGGCCCGGCCGCAACCGCGCCCGGCAACCGCTCCTTGGCTGGGCGGTCAGCCTGCCACTGGCACTTGGGAGCTGGACGTGTCCATCAGGTCGCCTTTTGGACAAATCCCTGGGGGCATACAACCAATCTAAACCAGTGGAACCCATCAATTGAAATACTAAGCAAACTAACCTAAACAGCACAGCTATGCTTAGTCATGTTGACCCCGGATTTAGCAGCAAGTGCCATCTAGTTCTAATCAAACTAACATAACAAAGACACCTATTTTCCCATCCAGCCCGGCTACGAACGCTCCAAAGATACATCACTTCGGAATTTAAGCAGGGCCAAAGACCAAACGCCTCCCCCGGTGTGCCTGCGCCGGTTCTTGCTTCACCTCCTGGCCGAGTCTCGAACTCACAGCCAGACATCCAATATTTCATTTCAGGCCCCCAGTTTTGACAATGGGTAACTTTTGCCATTTAGTGGTGAAAGTCATGTGTTCAGTGGTTTCCCCAATGGGCATCCCATGCAACATCCAAATGTCTGTTGAGTCAGGCGCCGAAGAAAGCCCAGTCGAGTAGTAGTAGTAGTAGTAGTAGTAGTAGTAGTAGTAGTAGTAGTAGTAGTAGTAGTAGTAGCAGCAGCAGCAGCAGCAGCAGCAGCAGTAGTAGTAGTAGTAGCATTAGTAGTGGTAGTAGTAGCAACAGCAGCAGTGGTAGAAGTAGAAGTAGAAGTAGAAGTAGAAAGCAAACTAGTAGCAGCAGTAGCAGTACCTGGTCTTAAGAAGGGGGTATGATTTGGGGTATGGTTCGGAGGTATGATTCATGGTATGCTTCGGGGCTATGATTCGCACAGGTCGAACGTCCATCCTACACTAAACCCTGGGGACCTTAAAAAGGCACACACCCACATGCATATATGTACCAGTCCCTGGGCCACGTACCCCCCCCCCCCCCCCCAATGGTATGGTCCCCCCACTCCCCCGCATCATCCGCATCTTGGGGATAATGCTGGCAATGCTGGGGATGCTGTCCAGTACCGTGCGAGCCCTGCAGCTTCGGTCCCAGACCCCCTTTCACCCCGTGAACCAACACCCCCGCACCTCTCCTAAATCAACCCAAACCCAAACCCACCCGAAACCCACCGCAAACCAACCCTGAACCAACCCTGAACCAACCCTAAACCAAACCAACCCTAAACCAACCCCTAACCCCCAACCACCCAACCACCCAAACCAAACCCACCCGAAACCCACCGCAAACCAACCCTGAACCAACCCTGAACCAACCCTAAACCAACCCACCAAGCCTAAACCAACTCCGAACCACACCCCAACCACCCAACCACCCAACCACCCAACCACCCAACCACCCCACCACCCCACCACCCCACCACCCCACCACCCACCCCACCCCCACAGGGGGGGGGGGGTTGGCCCAACCACCCAACCACCCAACCACCACCCCACCACCACCCACCCCACCCCCACAGGGGGGAGGGGGAGGGGGGGGGGTCCACGGCCTGGAACATATATACCCTCCCACCAAGCAACTTGGAGCCTGACAGGAGGGGCCTGGAAGACAATTGTCCTTTTCGAGGGACCCCCTGCCCGGTTCCATGTTCCTCAATGGGAGGGTATGAACATATATCTATATCTATCTATATATATATATATATATGGATATGGGTCAAATTTGAACCACCAGGAATTGGACCGCAGGTCTTGGTCCATGTTTCCACTTACCAGCTATGTTTGACCCCAACAGCCATATATATATATATATATATGCCAATCACCACTAAAATAGGTTCTAAAATGGGTGGCGCACCTACCCCAAAATGGGATCTCATTGGTTTTGACCTACAGCCATATATATATATATGTATATATATATATTATATATATATATATATATCGAAAACAAAAAAACACCCAAGATCTCCACCTGGATGCCCAGCTCCAAGCCTCTACGTCCCCCTCTGGCAGCTCGATGCCCAGCTCGGGCAAAGCCTCGCCACCGAAAATCTGGGCTCTCCGTTTTCTCGGCGCAAAAGCGACAAACTTCTAGCGGGCTAAATTCAAGACAACCACGAAACTGCGGCTGAAAAACTGAAAAGCCCAAGTACTAGCTCATGGTGGTTGTTCGTTTAGTTCTCCTTGAAAAGCGTTTTAAAAAAGGGGGACCAACTAAACACACAACGACCCCCCCATAACTGGGCAGTCCGTATATAAAACATCTAAAAAGCTAAGAACCGGATGGCTGGATGGGGAGCCACTCAAAGCAATGTCTGGGCTGGACTGTCCACTTTGCACCTGGATTTCTTCACGTCGAAAGAGGCCCTGATACGGAAGCAAGGGAAGCGGAGCGCGTGACCAGTACCATTGATCCTTCCATGTCTCCAGCTCCGTCTGCTTCCTCCCATCCAAGTGTTCCATCCATATGGTTGTGGCGAATTCAAACCGGAATTCCAAAATGGGTTGCCTGATCGGCAAGTGGAAACGCGGGTACCAAAACCTGCGGCTTGCCCCGCCCCCCCGTTGAACAATTGAGCCACACCCATCTGGCTCCATCTAATTGATCACATCGTCACCACGGCGCTCATGTCCCAGCGCTGACTCACGTCCGAACCCCGGCCTCCAGCTGCTCTGATACAAGCACCTGCCGTTCGGTCGGGCTCATGGGCTCCCAAGTGGTTCGGAGCATGTTCAAATGGCTGTGGGTCAAACAGGGCTGCCCAAATTGGGTTTAATTTTGAGCCAAAACCCGCGGCCCGCTACGATTTGGCTTGCTCGTGCTTGAGATGGCTCTGATTTCAAGCTGGACGCTGGGCACTGCGCAAACAGAAATTCGGCCAAGCCCGGGCCGCTTTCTTTGCTCTCAGGCTGGTCCAAACCCCTGCCCTACTTGGAGTTGAATCTTAGTTCTTGTAAAAGGAAAAAAATGAGTGAGAATGCATGTCCAGCTCTAGGTGTGGGTGGACTATCAATACTGGCAGCTCCGGCTGATTCCCCGGAAAGCCAATCTTGTTGGACAATGACACGTTAAACCCCATCCGAGGTTGATGTGATGCCACTAGATGTGACAACAACCCATTTCACCTTGCAACAACCATATCCAAGAACATGCAAGTCTTTCAACCAGTATTCACGTCGACAGTTCACCGCACAACTTTTACGGCGCGCATCCTTTTGGGAAACCAGCATGGGGGTCCCGTAAAAGAACCTGGAGTCTCCCAAGGACCCGAAATAAAAAATGGGTCCGTGACCCCTTTCATTTTCGGTAATGACCAACCATTTTTTAAGGGTCCTTAGGGAGACTCCAGGAAGACGCATCCGTATTGCCCTGGGCTTCCGTGGACTCATCTTGGCCGAGAAAAGATCCAACTCCGTCGGATCTGTGGATTGACTGTCGGCTCGGTTTTCCCGAGGCGAGCTAAGCTCACCAAGTGTCAACCGTTGCAGGCGCTGCAAATGTGGCTTCTGGACTGACAGCGAAATGGGGCCGAGTCTGTGACAAGGTGTCAAAACTTTGGTAACTCCCAAATGGTCGGCGTCACAAGTTCCCAAGAAGGGGCCCTAGTTTTGGGCTGTCCGTTTTCAGATCTGCTAGAAGTGAAAAGCGTTGAGCGGGCGAAATTCGGACACTCAACAAAACAAACTGCGAAAAGCTGTTTAACACCCCCCCCCCCCAAAAAAAAAAAGAACATGGGAAGAGGCTTAACCCCAAGAAAAGCTGCACCAACTAAACCGATCCGGGCGCGCGGGCCCCGTTTCCCGCCGCCTCGACCGCCTTGGGGCTGAGCCCCGCCGCGGCCAGAAGCACCGCCGCGCGGCCCAGCTTGTCCTCCGGCGGCTCGGAACTCGGAAAACTTGCGATCCGCTTCGAGCGGGGCCCTGAGACATGGAGGGAACTGGGTTGTGCAGGGATCCGATGATCCGGATATGAAAAACACCGATCGAGCCTTGCAACTTGTAAATGGTGGGCTCCAACTTTAGTTTGGAGAAAAACTATGTTTCAAATGGTTGCAAAATGAATCTTTCAAGGAGCCCTGTTGTGGTTGCCTTTTTTCGGGGACCAAAGCAACTGGGGTTTGGTGCTCTAGGCAGAAAATCAGGGAATGAACCCGATTTAAACCATCCCTTGCTGGTGGTTTCTCCTTTTTTCGGGGACCAAAGCAACTGGGTTGAGGTGCTCTAGGCAGGAAATGAGGGAATGAACCCTATAAATTATAAATCACCCTTTTTGCTGTCCTTTTCTCGGGGACCAAAGCCTGGGTTCCTTCCATTTCTCATTCCCGTGAGCACCAGCAAGGAAACATACATGCTTTCTTGCATACACATGTGTAGCTACCTGTGGGTGGGTCTTTTTTTTTAGGGAGGACCCCCTTTTTTGTGGCATAAAAGGAAACCTTTTGAAAGCACAGTATATACTTATATCTGTTTGTATGTATAATGAATGTGTATGTGAGCAATCCTTGGTGCCTGCACAACATCGGTCAACCTCCCTCTCAGCTTCTTTGGACTGGAATCCTCTGGTCGATGCTGGGTGTCCTTTCCTTTGGTAAACACTAAGCTGTGACGCACCAAAAAAACCGATGGTCCGTGCCGATTGGCGCCGAGTTTGGCCTTCTCACAAATGGGCGTGGCTCCAAATTAAACAGGTGGGGTTGCGCAGATGTTGGTCCATGTTTCCCCTGACCAGGGTTCCATTTTGGCTACCGGTGTTTTGAGCCACGGCCGGAGTGCAACCTCAAGGCCTACGCACTCTGCGCCTTTGTAAGCATCTTGGCACCGAAGTACAGCAGCACCTGCGGTGTAACATATTCCCATGGCGATCGGCGTTGCTGGCCGATGCGATCGCAGCCTGTAGCGGTTATTTTTTTTTTTAAGGATACATGAGAAGCCAAGGACAGGTTCGCAATGGGTACGGAGGAAACTTGTAGCTTGTTTGCTTGATGAATTCCGACCGCTCGTGCATCATTCAGTTCAAAGACCACCCACTTTGCCAAGTCAGAAAGGATCCCTAGGCTGCAGCTACACAGCCAATCGAGAAGTGCCTCAAAGTATCCTCCTTGTCTATGCTTGGACAAGGCTGAAAGGCAAATAAAGCCTCCTGTCATAAGCGAACAAGTCCGCTCCAGCTTAAACTGCCCTGTCAGCTAGGCGCCCCGCAGTCATGGCACTAGTGCCTCAGCGCGCTGCATTGACTGAAGGCCTTGTCAACATTCCAGGAAGGCCCGACTGTGGATGGACAAAATTGTGCGTGGTGCGAACGGATTTCGTCCATGCACAGTATTGCCTTGACGTGCCAAACAGCTTGGACACTGCCAGACTGTCAGTGCCAGCCACCAGCTGCAGCTGGCAACCCGAGACAAGAAACCACAAATGTTCCGGGCTGAAATAAGTGTCTTTCTTTGAGAAATTTTGGCGCGTCCAACCGAAAAAGGGCACTTCTTGGAGAGGTCGATCAGTTTCCAGGCTGTGCACCGCGCTGCCATGCCGTGCTGCGCAGTGCAAGGGAGTGTCACCCTGGATGCTCTTCTCCTGCAATGCACACTCGGCTGAACCCCGTGGCAAGCCGCAATCATTCTCTGAAGCGGACGGAAACCTTGCGGAGCCCGCTTCTGTGTGTCAAAGCGTCATGTCAAGTCTTGAAACCCTTTGCGCCATGAAGATTCCATTCCACTTCTTCTGAGCTACAATCAGCAGGTCCGCGACCAGACATAATGCTTGGAAGCACGCCTCCACATTGGCCTTGGCAGCCAGCAGAAGCCTCAGAACGCAGCTGGGGAGAAAACCAGCCGAGCATCTCTCGCTCTGACTGAACTCCAACACAAGTTTGGTATTTTCGTAAGCACGTGCAGTCAAACATCCCACAAGCCACAAGCCTGAACCCTGTCGGCCGCCCTCGGCTTTTTTCGCTCCTTGCTCCGCCGGGCCTCAGTAAGGCGACCATTCGCTTTCCGCATGTCGTCACGCAGATTCAGGGAAACTGCTGGACCATAATTTGTAAACATGAGCAATCACTGGACTTGAACATCTGAACAAAACAGTAACACGCAAAGAAGCAGTGGGTGAAGCACTGGAATGGTGCAGCGCATCAACTGCCAGTTGTGCAATCTGCCAGCTAATACTACGATACTGCTACAACTACAGCAACTAGCTCCTCCTGTCCTGCTCCTCGCACTCCTACTCCTACTACTACTCCTCCTCCTACTACGACTACAACGACGACGACGACAACGACGACGACTACTACTTCTACCACTTCTACTTCTGCTACTACTCCTGCTGCTACTACTATTACCACCTTCTGCTGCTGTTGCAACTGCTACTGCTGACACTCCTGCTTCTTGCCCCTGTTACTACTGCTATGAAACGGCGATGATGGCCGGGGCCAGGATAAGGAGAATCACACCAAGGATTGTTGTCATTTATCCATGAGGGTGTAGCCTACTGGCTCCAAGCCAAACCATTTTCAGTTTTATATATGTTCATATATTCATATTTGTAGCCTGTGCCAAAGGGTGTCTTATTTTTGAGGGTACCCTTTTAGAGGTTGCTTTCAAAGGGACCACCATTTTGTCGGGGGGGGGCCTCCAACAAATTCGACGCACAAAGAGGCCACTGGTCTCCCCAGTGGTTCGAACGGGCCTTTGCCAGACTTCTCCGTGACGAGTGGTCCGGCTTCAGCCCGCGCCTCCGGCCCGGTATCCCATAAATCGGCCATGGGTAGACACCAGAAATCCAAAAAAAAGGCTTCCCAAAGACGAACACCCCATATAGAGGGGGGGATTCCCTTGTATCACAGAAGTGGGAATAAACCCCTTGATTCCACAACCCTGGAGTAGACACCCAGACGATTCCATGGCTCCCGAAAAAGGACCCCGAAAAGGAAGACTCAAATGGGTGAACATCAAACCACCAGGGGACCACTTACCAGGGTTCCATTTGGGGTACATATTTTTGACCCAGAGCCAAATGGAGAAACCTAACATGATCACCGACGTCATTCTTTCGTAGAGCATTGCTTGTGGGAGAGTGAGTTTGTTTCGCAGACTGTTCCTGCCTCAGCTTGATCATGCTCAAGGTAAGCTCCCGAAAAAGGACCCCAAAATAAAAGACTTAAGTGGAAGACTGGTTGAGAGGTGATCGTCCCATGCGGCTCAAGAACGTGAAGATGTTGACACAAAATTCGCCCATGGCTGATCTCTCCCAAAACCCAAGCAAATACCCACAAAACTTGGTTGACGAGCAACAAATTGAGATCTTTAGCGGTTGAGTGGTTGGACTTCAACCACTAAACCACAACTTGCGCAAAAATGCGCAACATGTGTCCCCACAGCAACCCATGCCTTCAGGCCGAAGAGTTCTGCGCATACGTCCGTGCGGATGCCGGGCCCTTTGGTCTCGCCCTTTGGTCTCCTTTCACCAGACTCCTTTCGGGCTTTAGGACTTGCAGTCATACGAATGTTGAGCTCATGGGGGCTGGGGGGGGGGAGGGGGGGGGGAGGGGGGCCCAAATAAGCCCTAAATAAGGCCTTATTAAGGGCTTAACACGGGCTTATTTGGGCTCCCTCCCCCTCCCCCTCCCTCCCCCCCAGCCCCCATGATGAGCCGAAAACGGGATGTCCTGTGGACCACGGGGATGGCAAATGTCTCTTGAGATTCTTGAGAGGCTTTGTTCCTTTGCAAGTGCCCTGTGAGATGTTCGCGGATATGAGAGGTGACAGCAGGCAAGACTGCCTCAGTGAAATCGCTTGGACTCGAAAGAATGGAACAAATATCAATCAGGCAACGAGCCGAACGCAGCCAAATCAACATGACGCAAACACTCTACACATTTCTATTGACGTAAAACAGCCGAACCCACGAAGTTTATCAGGCAGGCAAAGCCTTCGTGACACCTACCAGGAATCCAAGCGAATCATGTATCGAAGTACACCTGCCATGCCCTGATTATCCCCCGCAACTGAAGGGAGAGGGGGATGGGGGGGGTTCCAATGATTTATCTAGCCTCTCCGATAAAAGGGAAAATGGAACCATTCATGGAATTCCAGGGTCACCCTTGTTAAGGGGTGGGGATATTATGTGCTCCCCTGCCTCACCATCTTCTCGTACATCTCTTCTGCAGCCGCAATGTCACCCTCGTTGGCGCAAAGCTCGAGGTACACATTCCTGAGAGAGCGAGACGAGCCTTGTTTCGAGAAGACAAAGATTCCAGCAGTGCAAGGCATGCGTCCTGCACTGAAACAGGATTTGCATGCACTGCACGGCAAATGAATCAACATATTATACCGTCTTGGAGATGGGGTGAAGCTGCAACTTCTGAGGTCGCAAACCAGTGTATCGTCTCAGTGCAGAACTTCGCTGGTACCATGGTGCGATGAAAACACGCGTCCCCAGCGCAAAAGCGCGCGCGTGCGCGTGCTCGCGCACGCGAACTCCAGTGCTCACTCGCCAAGCAGCAGCATGGAAAGGCTGCCCTCCTGCAGTCCACGGAGCGGCAGGTTTTCAGATGGCAAATGGCAACCAGCACCGTCAGATCCCCGTCCACTTTTAGTGGATCTGACTTTTAGTGGGTGCCAATCGAAACCCAAACACGAATTCAATGGAAACCACGAAAGCCTAAAAAGCTGAAAGGCTAAGGGGATGGCCAGCCACCAAGCATTGTCAGCGATCAGTTGATCCATTCTGACCAACTGATCAGTGTGAGTATAATGTGCAACGTCAGGCAACAGGAGCCAGCAAGTATCAACATCCAAGATAAACCAACCCGAGAAAAGTCGCAAGATCTGCGTGCCACGCAAGGGCTTGATTCCCTGGCATTCTACCATAGTCAACCCCTCAACCCAACCTCGGACCGACCGACCTCAACCCACCACCACCTCAACCCGACCACCCGGAGTCTCCATGACCCTCTAAAACTGGGGTCATGACCCAAAATAATGGTTGGTCATGGCCCCATGCTTTTTTCGGGTCCAATTCGGGAGACTCCAGGCACTTGTTTTGACCCAGGACCTCAACCCACCACAAACACCTCCAACTCCCAACCTCCACCTCAACCCGACCTCCACCTCCACCTCCCAACCAGACCTCCACCTCAACCCGACCTCCACCTCAACCCGACCTCTACCTCCCAACTCCGCCCTCGGCCCTTTGGGCCCCCCGCCACATCCGCCAGCAGCTTCGCCCAGCCCCGCGCGCCCCGCGCGGCGCGCGGCGCGCCGCCGGCGGCTTCGGGAGCTGCGAGCTGCAGCTCGGAGGTGACCTGCGCAGCGAGGTCTATATATAGAGTTTGTGTTTATTATGTTTATGTTTATTTATTGTTTTTTGGAGGGGGAATCTGTGCATGTATTGTCTTCTCTTTGTTTTTTTTTTGGGGGGGGGGTCGTATAACCACCTTCATCATCCGAATTGGGTCCTTGACATTCTTTTCAGTTGAATTGGGTTATAGGAACAGCTACTCTCCCGTACAAACATGGAACCTCACAGGGGGGGGTCCTGGACCTTTTTCTTTACATTGGTAGGTATCATGTTGCTGGACGTGAAGGGTAGGTTGACTTCAGAGTTCCACCCAAGATAGACTTAAACCCAGGGGGTCTCCTGTTGGGGGGAATTAACCCTGGGTTTAAGTCTACCTAGGGTAGCTAAAAGTAGAACCCTGGTTGACTTGAATTTCGTTTTTGCCTTTCTCTGTTGGGTCAAGGACAGGCCTTCGCAAAAAAATCGAACCCCGCAAAGGGGATTCTCTGCGGCGGTTGTGGGCCAGGCAAGCAGGCATGACCATTCCATTCCTTTCCATTCCGCAGCCCACGCTTTTGAAGAAACTGAAGCCCATCAATCGGATTCGGCCACCAAAGGCCATACTTAAGCCATGACCAAACTGCCTGGACCAAAATGCCTGTTCACAAGGACCCAAATGCCATGTATCATATCAAAAATGTGCCTTTTCAGGCCAAGGGGCCGCTCCACAAATTGGTTGCGTGGCTCCAAGTCCATCTCTCATCTCAACTCACTAAATGGGTGTGAGTCAAAATTAAGCCACCAGGAATTGGACCGCAGCTTTTTTGGTCCATGTTTCCATTTTCCAGGGCAAGCCATTTTGGGGTAACCCTATTTTTTGACCCAACTCACCACATCTTAGATTGCCCCCACCTGCCCCCCTTTCGTCAGCAGAAGCCCCGGCTCCCGGCAACCTCGGGCAGGAGGTTGCAACAGGCGCAATCTGTGAGGGATAAAACCTCTCAAGCCATGCGGCTGATAGTTGTTCAAACAGATGGCTGTGAGTCAAAAAAGGGTACCCAAACTGGAACCCTGGTACCTGGAAACAACGACAAAAACCTGCGTAAACCCTAGCTCTGTAATTTTGAGCCATACCCAGATCAATGCAGCACAAACAACTGGCAACTGAGTTGAGGTGTGCCTCAAGACAGCTGAATATGCAGCCCGGGGAGTTTGCGGCCGTATGTGTGTGAGACGCCTGCCCACTAATCCTGCGTGTTTCGATCTTTTGCGGAAGCTCTAATAAAAAGACGCACCGGAAAATGATGAGGGCATGCAAGCATCGCTCATGTGCCTCAATGATATGCGGACGCAAAGCCTACCACTGCCTTTTCCAAGTATCGGGCGTGACCACAGGCAGCTAAGGCTGCCTAAGCAAGGCAGCATCCACACCTGCACGTACAGGCACAGCCAAACAACCCGGACAACGCATGCACCTCCATCCTCTATGGCTTCCCTGCTGTAATTTCATCGGCCCGCAGCGAATCTTTGCAAGGGAACACCACATACACTTTTCTCCAACAAACGTTCTGGTTGACCAAGAACCACTGGCCATTCTTGGGCCAACTAGGTCCATCTCTGCTCGCAACGGAGCCGCGTGTGCCCAAGGCTTCTGTTCATGCGGAACATGACATGGTTCCTGCCAAATAGCTGCATCCGTACTTGCTAATTTCAATCCAAATGTTTCATTTTCAGGATTTGAGTGATCACATGAGTCACAATCAAAACCCGGTACAAAAATCGTCGACCCAGAACCATGTAAAGAACTAAGCAGGCGGATATCCGCAGCTATTTATGGCAAGGGGATCGTCCCTTACGAACCTTCACATACCCGAATCGGTTTTGATTGTGGCTCACATGGCTCGAAATGCAGGGCGGACCGCCGGACACCGACGAAAGCCGTCGATCGACCCTCCTTGCCTCGTCGCCGCGCTCTGCGAGCCGGCTCATGGGAAACACCGTGCGCAGCCTGGCGTGCAGCCTGGCCGCGCATGCTGAGGGTTGGTTAAGAATTCATGATCTTCATGTTGCTTGGGTTCTGACTACTTTGATTAAAAACAAAAAACTTAGGCAGTTTTCGATTGCCGAGGGCTGACTGCGGGTCTGAGTGGCAAAATGTAGGCTTCCAGGAAAGCTGGGTTGAGGGTTGACGTTGGGCTGTTTCAGGGTTGAGTTAGGGCGGATTTTGGTAGAGTTGGGTTGGGGTTTGGTAGTGGGGAATCAGACCACTTTTGGAGGGGCCCCGCCCCCCTATGAAGAAACTGGGGTTGATTAACCAGGGCTCAAGTAACCAGCGGACGCCCGGCCTCTCAATCTCCTCCTCCTTCTCTTTGCTCAGCTGGTGAAATCCAGGCGGCAGGCTGGTAGCCTCGGCCCTCGAGCGCCGCGGTTCGCCGGAGACATGCTTCTGGAAAGCGGCCACGAAGAAGCCTTCCTAAGGCGTGCAATGGGGAAGCACCGAACACGAAAGGCCCTGCAACAAGAATGCGAAGATGCGAGGCACCTCTGCGTTGGTGTATCTAGGTGAGCAATGGTTCCATTACGGTACCTCGTGCTCAATGCGACACGGACCAGAAAAACACATGTCACAGCGGCCCAAGGTTTAGAGATCCCTTTGCCGGTCTCTGGGTATCACAGATTGCCGCATTCTTGACCAACCCTCCACGTTGGCGGACATCTCCCCTCGGTTGACCCAGGTCATGGAATCTTCGGGGGGGCTATGAAAAGGGGGGCTATCCCTGGATAAGCCCAGGATAACCCAAGGATAAGCCCTTAATAAGGCCTTATTAAGGGCTTAAGGGATAGGGGGGCTCCCCATAGCCCCCCTTGGGGGTCCATCAGGCATCTCCCACGGTGCTTCGAAAACCCAAGTGGCCGTGTCCCAGCGGTGCGGCAAGACTTGCAGCATGCTGCCGCCCAGCAAGTCGGCATCCAGGGCGGTAGCATCCCTGTGGGCCTCAAGGCTGCAACGCATGGGGCATGAAGGGATCAGCAGCGAATCCTGGAACTACAGCGACACTTGGCCATGGATCAAAATCCCGGTTACCCCCCAGGGAACATCCCAATCCCCACTAAAATAGACTAAAATGGGTGGTGCAACTACTCGAAAATGGTACCCACAGCCACTTCATAAGCTCAATAGCTGAAAACCAAGAGGCCAGCTCCCCAATCTGATCAGCAGCAAAGCGTCGCATCAGTGCATGTGAGTATCAATTGATAGGGTTCTTCGAGATCTTTCTTTCCTTGCGCTGTCCTGCGTTCACCGTGGAGAGGTGATACAATTCAGAAGCTCAACGCATCTTTCTCTTTCCCCTCAAAACGCCTACATCCACAAGTTGGCCCGAATCCTGTACAACATAGATTTAGATGACCAACACGATTCAAGAGGCCCCAGTGCTTGATCTCCTCTCTGGTGGAGCTCCATTAAGTTAAGTCCTTGATTTCCCGCTCGCCACCAGGTTCTTGGGGTGAACATATCGACCTGGTGGCGATCCCCCCCGCGCCTCCAGAAACTTTGCACACTGCTTCTGGTTCTGCCACGCATCGAAGGTGCAGGTGGAGTAGACCAAGACGCCTGCGGTCTTTTTGATCAGAATTTGCAAGCCTGTTTGAAGTTTGTGTTTTTTGTTCATCAGCATCTTTGCCAACTTGAACTTGAAGTCTTGGGGGTCTCATGAGCTTCGAATCGGCTCCACTTTGTCTCCCTTAAGGCCCGTACGGCTTGCCTCCGCAATCACCTGTTACCCTCCGCGGTTGAATTTCATGGTCTTAAGGGGGGGTCGTGGGAATTAGTGGCGGGTCTCAAGATTCTTTGGCCAAGGAAAGCATCGAAGACGAAGCATCCGTCTCCATCCCGAATACTGCACCCCGCCCCCCCGAAACGAAGTCTGCCCGCTGGCACCAACCAATCTACGCTCCACTCCAATCAGAGCTCGGAGGGAGGTGAGATCCTGAACCCATGCCAACCTTCATCCCCTCACCGCCCGCACTCCGAATCGGAAGACTCTAAAAGGTGAACAACTTTTAGTGGGTCTAGATGGAAACCCAGCCGCCAGAAACCAACCAAAAAAAAAATCACTTCAACGCCTCAGGAACGGGATCGGGGTAAACCCTGGAGGCTCCCTAGGGCGCCGAATACCGTATCCGGGGACGCCAATCGAACACCGGGGACCCCTCAAAACGACCGTTTCGAACCAGCGGGGATCGGGGATACGGGAGCGGGGGGGTTTGGGGGGGATTCCAACTGGGCGCCATTTCCCACATCAAACCTTGGTCAAGGTGCATCAAACGGGGGAATCCTCCCGTATCCCTGGGTTCCCCCTGCATCCCTAGTTGGTTTCCCTGATTCTGGTTGAACCGCCGGCTCGGCGGCTTTTCGCTTTAGACTCGGCCTCCACTTTTCAGGGCACGCCAGGCGCTCTGCAGCAGGGCCCTTTGCTTGCGAACCTCAGACCCATTGGGGACTCCAGGTGGGTGGGGCTTCCAAGAAGAAACCCATCCCCAAAATGTGGAGGTCCCCCGATTTTTGTTGAGAAGCCCCCCATGTGAGGGAAGCAACCCAAAATGAATGAACATGGAAATGGGTGGAACTCTGGCATGCAGGAGTGAGGAACCTATCTTTGGACTGTTTTGCAATGCCCGACCCCCCCCGCAAAAAAAAAAAAAAACGCGTTAAACTCAAACAAGAACAACAAATGATCGTTTGCTACATTTAACGACCGCGACAGATCTCAACCCTGGCATGGGTGAGCCCATCTGTGACAGGCTGGCGTGTGACCATTTCGCCAAAGGCATGCCCAAGCCTCGTTCACAAGCTACGTCATATGGCTACGAATCTTCAGTTGGGGGCCCTTTGGTAGGCATCATTTAGGTGGGGAATCATGTCAACCAACCACATATAAGTGGTTCCCTATTAAAATTCAGGGCCATATCTGAACGAATAGGTGCGCTGGATGCGTGTCTGCACAACTTTCCAGGTGTCAGTGATGAGTCTTGCCCGCTCTGATAATTTTCCTATCGATTGATCGACGTCGAAAGTGGAATCTACGCCCCGTGAAGGGGCTGAAAGATTTTAAGCCCTGATCTCAAGGCTTCAATTGCAAGGATGGCTGACACTGACTGGAGTGAGAAGCACAGGGACAGCAAGTCTGATACGATCACTGCTCGTTGCTCGTGGTCGATGTTGACCCTTTCGCGATGTGTTGCAGGGCCCAACTGGCCATCAAAGGCCCTTCAACACACCACACCACACAACCCTGAGATGCTTCACTGGCAAATCAAGCAGACATGTTCCATGTTCGACACATGCAAAAATACTCTTTGAGTGATTGTGTCTAACTTAACGATGGAAATAGGTACAAGGGGAGCAGCAGCTTCCTTCAATCCTCAGAAGCCTGCCTACCTCATACCTGAACCTTCCTGCATGCTCAAAGTTTCCGCCTTTTCGCTACGAATTGCCGTTTTGGGCAAATGCGCGTGTTTTTTGCCTGCGGCTTTCTTTGCTCAATTTGGGTGTTAAGCGCAATCTACCCAAATCTACCGGCGAAAATTCCCGACAAACGGGCGAACATTCCCGACTGCGGCGCAAACAAATATGACCGCCGGCGTTTTTGTTTGCCCGAAAAGCATCTTTTCAAGCCAACGACCAAAAACACGTGTTTTTGTGCCAACGCCTAATAGTGTTGACCCCTGGAAGGTCCAGGTATGAGCTTGGGCCCTGGACGGCATCCACTTCTGTCTAAGGGTAGGTGCTGACTCCGCGTCACACTTGAATAACCAGAACTTAGGTCACTTGCATCCTTGATCGCACAGCCTTTGCAGCCTTTGCACCTCACATGGTCAGGCCAGAAGTGGCTGCGGGTCAAAAAGAGATTCCCAAAACGAAACCCTGGTAAATGGAAACATGGATGAAAACTTGCGGTCCCCTGGTGGTTTAATTTTGCCCCATACCCAAGTAATGATTTCCAGCCCCAAGTGAAACTCACGCTGCAAAGACACTTCACCGCACACGGCTGAACCGCAAGCTGTTCGAGCTGAACAAACAAAGCACAAGCAAGCTTTTTATTCGGACGTGTGAAACATCGGACCCAGTTGCATTTCTTTTGGTTGGATTTCTTTTGGTTTGCAACAGGAGAACTCCTTTAGAAGTCTCCAACAAACGGGAGGCGTTCCGAACCCACCGCGCCGGCTCGGCCTGAGCGCCCGGCGAGCGGGTTCTTGGGCCCTCGGGAGGAAGCTGCGCCGCGGAGGAGGGCCACGGGCTCCTTCGGACCGAGTTCCCTCACCGGGCGGTCCGTTTTCAGCTGGGTGAAATTCGGAAACCCGACCACCAAACATCAGCTGAAAAGAGCTAAGAAGCAAACCACTTAGAAAAACGAAGTGATCAAGCTACCAGTAGTTCACCCAGTAAGAGCTGGCCACAAATGCCCACTGCTCCTTGCGCACATTGCCCTCACAGGAGCAGGGGGCGTCCAGCAGAATGGCATCGAAGGCTTCCGGCGCCAAGTTGCCCATCTCCTGGCCGTCTGTCCTCGTCACCTTGGCGTCAGTCACTCTTCTGTCGAGACAGAACCAGGCCGGCAGCTCCCTGTACCCATCCGCAACAACGTGGGAAATCCAACTGCCATCCAGTGAGCTGGGTTGCTTGCCAACATAAACTATGTTACTCTCTTGCGCAAGATTAGAAAACTCAAAAAGCGCAAATGATGCAGTGCCTTCTTTGGGCATCGAGGGTAGTCATCTCTCCACGTTCCTCCTATGGCACGTGCTTCAAGCACTCACCGGGGCCCTGTCGTATCGCTTGCCGTGTTACAAGGTCGGCAGTGTGATTTCAGGAGTCACAAATTGTGTCCGGGATGGCTGGCATCCGATTCAGTCAATTCCAAGTCAATTCACAAGGACGGTGCGTGGTCATCATCCATTTAATGAGATGGATAGAATCATGTTCGACGGAATTTGTATGAGCATTCTAAAAAAACAACTGACCGCAGCTCACAGCCTCAAATCCCCCCAATCCCCTGTCATGGGCGTACCATCCATCTATTCACTCCTACTATGTCAAAGTCCTTCAAGTGGAACGAAAACCTGAATTCACCCCGCAACAAACGAACCCTCATATGGTCCTGGGTCAAAAGCCAAATTGTACCCCCAGTGAACGGGACCCAATCCAACCACTAAAATAGGTTCTAAAATGGGTGGTGAATTCACCTACCAACCAAAATGGGACCCAAAACGGTTTTGACAACCACAGCCGTATGCAGATTGCTTTTGTCGAGGGACGAGCACATCCACAAGGCCCGACCGCAGCAGGTTCGTCCGGAGCTTGTCCGCCCGCTCATGGCCTGCGACGGACCCCACTGACCATGTCAGGGCCACCACAAATGGCTACCCTTCCTCCAACAAACGTAGCACCTGCGGGAAGGTACCTGGAAGATCAGTTTACCGTATACCCTGAAAGGAACTCCCTGTGAGGTGCTATCTTCGTGGAAGGGAGGGTAGTTCGATTGAAATAAACAACATCTGGGCCAATTAGAGATCCCTCTAAAATCTCCACAACCAAGAGGACGCCCACCAATTTACAGGGGCCAGCTGTGCATCAGAACTTGGACCGTTTCACCTCCTTCAAGGGTACTCGACTTCGAGAGGCTGAATCTTGACGAACTTTTCGTGGGTTGAATGGGCATGGGTCAAAATCAAAGCACCAGGAATCGGACCGCAGGTTTTGGTGTCCATGTTTCCATTTACCGATCGGGCAAGCCTTGTTGGGGTTACCCTATTTTTGACAACCACAGCCAAATGGAAACTACCACTAAAATCCAAACACCTAAAAACCTAAGGAATGGCCGGGAACCGCCATCCGGAAGGCGCTGCTCGATTTTTTTGGCATGGGATCACCCTGCCAGGTCATAGGCAGGCTTCGACCGAGTGACTGGGCTCGTTGGCAATGAGCAAGCCACCACCAGACCCTTGGCAATCCAACTGATGCGACAATGCCCACATGGGGGGTCCCAGAGCGAGTGAAGCGCAGTGTGCTGCGCAAGTAACCAGCAAGCATCATTGCCTCCTGAAACAATCCATGCTTCAGGTTGCCGTGGTTCATAACCATGCAACATCTGCCAACTACCTGCTTGCTCGTCAAAGCAGTTGCAGCACGGGAGGTTGAGTGGCGAAACAAGAAGTGGTCACAGCAGTGCCAGCTCTGAAGTGCACTCGCTGGTGTCCATTTCATTTCCCCGGCAAGTCAAACCGCCCCAAAAGAGAAGAGATACCCTCAACATGGACACAAGGCAGAGTCAATTGCAGAGCTCAGTGATTTAAGCGCCCGGCTTGTTCGCAACCACGCGCCCAGCTGGGTTGCCTGCAGTCTGTGCCAGGAATGGACAAGATCGTGATAGATCGATCATGAAAGCACGCAGTGGTTCTCTCTGCTCTTCAAGGTCGCACCTCCCAAAATGGCTTCGGTGTTTGTTTGGCTTCCTCTACACCCACCAAAAATTGGGGCTCCTCCAAGAAGTCGATCCACCCAGTTGTATACCAAGTAGGATGAGCTCTTCCAGCTCACTCACAGCGAGGACCAAGTAGGATGATCTCACTTTGTCAGGCTGCGAACTGCCCGCGCCTTGCTGCCGGGCGCAGCACAAAGATCCAGGACTTGAAGATGCTCGCCTCCCAAGCTGGCCATAGGCTTTTCAAAATCCAAATCGCTTAGCCCCAGTGAACATCAACCAATCCAACCACTAAAATAGGAAGCCTAAGATGGGTGGTGAATTCACCAATCCCAACCGAAATGGGATCCCAAAACGGTTTTGACCCGCGTGCAGAGCTGAAGTCAGATCTGCGGTTTGGATAGATTCCACCGCCTGCTGCGCTCAGCCAATCTGATCAAGAGGATTCACGACGGCGTGTCGCAATTTTCCATGGACCTTCCAACACAAAAAGCTCCAAGGACTTGGGAAGAAACAACATGCACTTTGGGCCAAGCAGCCCCAGGCACCCAAGAAACAACCATTGCACTTTGGGCAAACGCATCCGCGCCGAAGGCCGAAGCCCAGGCACCCCACGAAGGCAGCCCGCGAAGGCACCCCTCGCAGCAAAGTCGCGCCTGGCTTCCGCGCATCCATGGCCTGAGCCAGGACCGCCGGCGGCAACATGGACGTGGCCTCCTGGAAGTAGAGCTCGCCCGACAGATGCGCCTGAGGTCCATTGGAGCAGAGGGTCAAATTTTCAGCCACCAGGAATCGGGCCGCGGGTTTTTTGGTTTCCATGTGTCCAGTTACCGGGATTCCATTTTGGGTACATAAAATTTGACCCACACCCACTAAAATAGGTTCTAAAATGGGTGGTGAATTCACCTACCCCGAAATGGTATATTGGTTTCGACCCACAGCCACATAAGTGTCCTTTTGGTTGAACACTTCGATGGCAACCTGGTAGAAGCTACCAGCTCCAAAAGCCAGGGATCGCCATCTTACTAAAAACTACCAAAAAAGGACGCCAATGGATCGCCAGAGGACCCAGTCGTCTCCTTTCCATTGCCTTTGATTAGCGCCACAGGTTTGTGAGTACCACGCGCAACTCAATGAGCAATCAAAGATGACATCTGTGCAGAATGAACCCGGAGCCTTTTTGCGAATCTTCATTCATTCATTCATTCATTCATTCATTCATTCATTCATTCATTCATTCATTCATTCATTCATTCATTCATTCATTCATTCCATTTCATGTCACTCCATTTCATGTCATTTCATGTCATGTCATGTCATTTCATGTCATTTCATGTCATTTCATGTCATGCCATGTCATTTCATGTCATTCCATTTCATTCCATTCCATTCCATTCCATTCCGTTCATTTCATTTCACTTCACTTCACTTCATTTCACTTCATTTCATTTCATTTCATTTCACTTCACTTCACTTCACTTCACTTCACTTCACTGCACTGCACTGCACTGCACTGCACTGCACTGCACTGCACTGCACTGCACTGCACTTCACTTCATTTCACTCCACTCCACTCCACTCCACTCCACTCCACTCCAGTCCAGTCCAGTCCAGTCCAGTCCAGTCCAGTCCAGTCCAGTCCAGTCCAGTCCAGTCCAGTCCAGTCCAGTCCAGTCCAGTCCAGTCCATTCCATTCCATTCCATTCCATTCCATTCCATTCCATTCCATTCCATTCCATTCCATTCCATTCCATTCCATTCCATTCCATTCCATTCCATTCCATTCCATTCCATTCCATTCCATTCCATTCCATTCCATTCCATTCCATTCATTCATTCATTCATTCATTCATTCATTCATTCATTCATTCATTCATTCATTCATTCATTCATTCATTCATTCATTCATTCATTCATTCATTCATTCATTCATTCATTCATTCATTCATTCATTCATTCATTCATTCATTCATTCATTCATTCATTCATTCATTCATTCATTCATTCATTCATTCATTCATTCATTCATTCATTCATCTCCGAGGGTCATGTAAAGCCAGGCGAAACTTGTTCGCCTGGCAGGCAACTCACCCCCCGACACCTGATGGCCAGTGTTACATGGCCCAGTGGAAAAGAAAAGTCTCCCCCGGAGCGCACTCGAACGCCGTACAACTGTTGCAGCAACTGAACCAGTTCCGAAAGGATGACAACACTCATGTGGAATGTTCACTGCACTAGACTTCAAGTGGGCAATTCCTCCGCTGCAAACACCGACCCAAACATGCGCCCAGAGACGCGCCAAAACCACATATTAGTAGCATTATTATTATTATTACTATTATTACTATTATTATTATTACTATTATTATTATTATTATTATTATTATTATTATTAGTATTATTATTATTATTAACCCCAAAAAAAGAACGCCAAAACCAAAAACTTCTTAAAAAAACAGTACCTCCCATCCCGCCTCGTGCAGCCCGGAGCCTTCCACCGCAAAGCCGTCCCCGCACCACGGCAGCGGCTGCGGCGCCCACTTTGCCGCCTCCAGGGTGGGCCACCCATTGGTTTAAACATGTTTAAACCACTGATTATGATGATTCTTCCCATATGATGTTTAAACCACTGGTTATGATGATGATTATGTTTAAGCCACTGGTTTTGATGATGTTTAAACCACTAGTTAGTATGTTTAAACCACTGCAAAGGTGGTGCTTAAACCATATGTTGCCCGCACCCAGGCCTCCAGGCGCCGCCGCAGCCCCCGCCGCGCCCTGGGCGCCTGGAGCCGCGCCGCCCGCGGCGCCGGGCGCGCCGCGGCGCGCAGCAGCCGGCGCAGCGAGAGCGGAGCCGCGCCTCGGGCCTGGGACGATGGGTGTGTCTCTTTTTTGGAGTGGGCTCAGTTGCCCCTGGTTGCTTGAGGGCTGCAACAAGAACTGGCATCAGACTTCCTCCATTTGTTTAAGAATATATACCTGGAGTCTCCCACTCGGAAACCCTCTAAAAAAGGGGTCTATGACCAACCATGATTTTGGGGAATGACCAACCAGTTTTAGAGGGTCACGGAGACTCCCTTTTTGCTGCTTCAAAGGGGAACCAAGGAAAAACCGATGCCATTTTGGGGTCCCCCAGAAAAAGGCGCACTGTTTTCTGTTTGGCGGTGCAGGGATTTGCCCCAAGCTTTGGGAGGTATGGTGGTTGATCAATATTCCCTTCGGCCCCAAACTGACCATGGGTAACTTTCCTCGTGCGGTGACATATCATCCTTTTTAAGGTGGTGTCCAACTTTTTTGGTCACCCCCTCCGCTTGCCAGACCTTTCGATCAACCCCCAGATTTGGGTATGAACATTTTCTAGCTCGGGACCCGAAGTTCTGGACATCCTTTGGGGGATGTTTCTCTCCACCACCCACTTTTCAGGGCCTTTCCAACCAGAAAAAAAATCCGACGAAACCGCTGGCGCCCATCTGGCCATGGGTCAAAATCCAAAGCGTACCCCCAGTGAACATCCCAATCCAACCACTAAAATAGGTTCTAAAATGGGTTCTAAAATGGGTGGTGCACCTGGGGAGGACTAAGAAACGCATCTTTCGGTGTAAGTTTGACACACAGAGAGAATTATTTGGACTACCACCCCCCCCACCCCCCCCCAAAAAAAAAACTCCCCACCCCCACCCCAAAGTGGGATCCCAAAACGGTTTTGACCCACAGCCAAATGAGGATCTCAATGAACATGGTTTGTGCAACCTGGAGCCCCAATGGACCCCCTGTTTTTCTAGGGGAAGCTTCCCCTTTCTTTCCAGTGATCCTTCTTTTCACTACCCCCAAATTCCCACCCCACCCCCAAAAAAAAAGGACTACCCCCCCCCCCAAAAAAAAAAAAAAAACATCCCCCCACCCCCCCACCCCAAAATGGGATCCAAAAACAGTTTTGACCACCACCACTTTTCAGGGGCTTCCAACCAGAAAGCAAAAAACAATAATAATGAATAATAATGAACCAATGACGAAACATAGTAGTAATAGTAATAATAGTAATAATAGTAATAATAATAATAGTAAAAATACTAATAATAATACTAATACTAACAATAATAGTACTAATAGTAATAATAATAGGAATAATAATAAAAATAGCAATGATAATAGTAATAATAATAATACTAAAAATACAAATAGTAACACTTACAATTTTAACAAACAACCCAAAAAAAAAAAACGGAGCCACCCCGCGAAACCGCCTGGGCGCCCCTCTCGCCTCCAGGAAGCTTCTCGGCGCCCAGGGCCTGCGTCGCAGGCACTGGCCGCGGAAGCCCCGCCGAAGCAGCGGACTTAGCAGCTCCTGGGGGCCGAGCATGGGCACCATTGTTTTTTGGTATTTGCAGGGGAATCATCGTTCCAGGGTTTCTGGGGTGGCGCGAAATGGATTTCCATCCACAGCAATCAGTAATGTTGACCCCCATTTCGGGGGTGTTCCCTCCCAAAGTGATCTGAATCCCCACTAAAAGAATCGGGACCTATTAATCAACCAGGGGTTTATTAATCCAGGGTTAACAATAGGTGGCCTTTGAGTGAAACAGGGGTCCTTAGCAAAAAGGCTTCGGTGTTCCTTTTGGTTTCCCTTAAAATTAAAAAAAAAAAAAAAGCAAATGGGACGTTCGGTCCCCAAACAGGGAGATCCGGATGCATGAAAAACACCTGAACATTGCAACTTGTAAATGGTGGGAAAAGCCCAACTTGATTTTGGTGTTGAAAAAGCAACATGTTTCAAATGGTTTCAAAATGGAGATCTTTTAAGGAGCCCTGTGAAAATGGATGGGTTTTCGATTTTGTTTAAGCAAACCAACCAAAAAGGACACCTATGCTCCTGGGGTCGAGGATTGTGGGAGCAGTCGATGTACTTGCGATCGGTGCGAGAGATGCAGGGCATGAGAGAAGTGGAATGAAGCCATCCAGCTGGTGGCTGCCTTTAAGTTTTCGTGTTGTTGTTTTTTTTGCGGAGTGAATGAGAAGAGGAATGACCCTGATTTGAAGCATCCAGCTGGTGGCTTCCTTTAAACAAACCCCAACTTTCATTCCATTTCTCATTCGAGCACCAGCAAGCTTATTCCCACTGTGATACTTTTGGGACCCCTCGCCCTTATGGGGGGTTGTGTGGCAAGGGGTTATCCAACCACTTCTTTCCTTGTGGGGTTCGTTGGATCGTCTTTTTGAGAAGCCCTTGTCCAGAAGTGGATTCCATTTCCTACAGCCCTGCCAACCGAAAGTCTTGAGGCTTGGGGCCCGTTGCAAAATTTGAGCGACTCGGGGAAGCCTCTTGGAGGACAATTCCGGGCTGTCCGTTCTCTGATCCGCTCAAAGTGAGTTTAACTTGTGGGCTAAATGGAAACCCAACCCCCCAAAAAAGCTGAAAGAACCTGAGGTGAAAACGGTGGCTCGTCTTACTTTGATGGTACCGTTGTTAAGTGGTTTTAACAGGGGAAAAAACGTAAAACCGAAGTCCGATTTCGAGGATCCCCTTTAAGACGCACCCAAAGGGAAATGGCAAGCCTCTTACCGACGGACCATACGGCAAGCTGATTCAACAGGTAGCCTGCACCATGTCCCACAGACACAACAGAAGCGACAACTAGTCGAATCCATTGACACCCAAACACTCTGGAATTAGGACCCCAGCAAAAACATATCTTTTTTGCCTGGGGAGTGGAAAACAAAGGGACCCCAAAAAGCCCCCAAATAAAAGGGGGAGGAGCTAATTCTGGGGAAGTGCTCAGAAGGGTTTGCACATGTTCCCTTTTGGAACCTTCATCAACATCCTTAAGTGCTGTTTGGGCATTCCTCGGGTCCAAAATGGCGGTTGCAACTCCAGGCCTGCATGCCCTGGTTCTCGAGAGCAACTGCGACCTCCAGCCAAACCACAGAATATCAGGAAGCACGCGCTAGGTATGCTTCTGATAGAGGACTGCATGAAGCAACCATCAGCGTCACACAACCTTCAGCAAACCTTGTGGACTCACCGCAAAGTTGTGTCAAGAATACGTTTCGTGCCAATGCATCAAACACGTGTCAGCACACATCCCTCACGTCAGAGCTGCAAGCTGCACCGCTTTTTGAAAGCTCCTGCACCCATCATTGCAACGCATGCTGTTGCAAAGTCCGAACGCAACATTTGCCATTGCCAAGCCACCGAATTCAGATCTGCTGGAGAAGGTTCCACACCAGCAGCTTCCATGCCGAACAGGAGGCCTGTTGCAAGGCTAAGACTTTCGCGTTGGGCGGACGTCGTTGTCAAACAAACAAGGCAGGCCACAAACACAACCGGCCTTCTTCAACCGGCCTTCTTCAGGCCACCCACACGGTACAAACACAACCGGGCAGGCCCACAGGCCACAAACATCGGCCTTCTCCTGGCCACAAACACAACCGACCTTCTGCAAGCCAGGCCCGCAGGCCACAAACACAAACGTACAAACACAACCGGGCAGGCCCACAGGCCACAAACACAACCGGCCTTCTCCTGGCCACGAACACAACCGACCTTCTTCAGACCCGCAGGCCACAAACACAAACGGCCTTCTTCAGGCCGCCCGCAGGCCACAAACACAACCGGCACTTTTTCAAGCCACCCGCAGGCCACAAACACAACCGGCCTTTTTCAGGCCGCCCGCAGGCCACAAACACAACCGGCACTTTTTCAGGCCACCCGCAGGCCACAAACACAACCGGCACTTTTTCAGGCCACCCGCAGGCCACAAACACAACCGGCCTTTTTCCAGGCCACAAGCACAACGGGTAAGGGGCGAGTCAGGAAACAGAGTCAGGAAACAGGCTGGACAAAATCAGGAAACGGGTTGGTCCAAATCAGGAAACAGGTTGGTTCGTGTCAAGAACCATGTAGATGTGGTTTGACGGTTTCGTGAGTCAGAAAACGACCATGAGCCAGGAAACGGCCCCGGAAACAACAGGAAGAACGCGTCGGGGAGATGTGAGAAGTTTGTAGTCAAGCGAATAAGGTTCGTGAGTCAGGAAACATTACAAAGCCAGGAAACGACGTGAGTCAGGAAGCGGCCCCGGAAACGACAGGTGCCGGGGCGCTCGCGAGTCAAGTGAGTAGGGTTTCGTGAGTCCGGAAACAGCGGTGGAAACGACAGGAACAGTGCGTCGGGGTGGTGCTATGGCCGTTGTGCGACTTCCCCGCTTCGTTATAGGGCCGTTGTTCGGCTTCGTGATTCTTCGTCGGGCCGTTGTTCAGCTTCGTTATCCCTTTTGTAACCGCGCACTTTCTTCATTACGGTCTTTATTTGTTTTCTACCGGGGGGGGGGGCTGCGCCCCCAACCCCCCCGCTTCGTTATAGACGCTGAAAGCCTAAAGCTGAGCTTTATGAAACCTGAACCTAACCCTCAGAACCCGAAACCTAAACTACGAGAACCCCTAAAAACCCTAAACCTGAACCCTAGCCCTAAACCTAAACCCTAAAAAACGCAAGGCTGTTCCTTGATGGGCCAAAACGACACCAAGGAACAATGCACAAAGCAAACGGCAAATTGGAATTGTCCGATTTTGCAAAGGCGCCTTTGCCTTTGGCCCCGGCCCCGTGCGTTCGCCACGCCGGCTGCCCTTTGCCGGCTGCCGCATCCCCTTGGCCTGGCTGCCCGGGCCCTTTGCTCCAAGGGCCCCACTGCGTCAAAGGATCAACGGCAGCGCAATTCCAGAATTTCAAATCACGCAGCGACTCCTGCATCCCCCGTTGGATTACGAGTCGAACAGCTGCTCCTTGATCCGAGTCATCAAGCAACAATGCACGAAGCACACGGCAGAGAGCAAAGCACGAACTGCGAAAATTGCATCCCCAGCATCACCACAAATTGAAAAGCGCTGGCCACATCATTCCTGAATCGCATTTCCTGGCTCACGCGTCCGCGTTTCATGACTCACCTTTCCCGTTGTGATCTTAATATGTTTCACTTTCGTTTCTTGTCTTACCTCTAGTTGTTTCTTGACTCGCCCCTGTCCATTTCTCGACTCATGTTTCGTGACACGGTCACTGGTTTCCTGACTCGGTCTAGTCTCCAAGCTCCAAGCACAACTGGCCTGTTTCAGGCCTCCTGCAAGCCACAAACACAACCGACCTTCTTCAGGCCACCCGCACGGTACAAACACAACCGGCCTTCTTCAGGCCACCCGCAGGCCACAAACACAACCGGCCTTCTGCAGGCCACCCGCAGGCCACAAACACAACCGGCCTTCTTCAGGCCACCCGCAAACACAACCGGCCTTCTGCAGGCCACCCGCAGGCCACAAACACAACCGGCCTTCTGCAGGCCAGGCCCGCAGACCACAAACACAACCGGGCTTCTTCAGACCACCCGCACGGTACAAACACAACCGGCCTTCTGCAGGCCACCCGCAGGCCACAAAAACAACCGGCCTTCTGCAGGCCACCCGCAAACACAACCGGCCTTCTTCAGCCCACCCGCAGGCCACAAACACAACTAGCCTTCTGCAGGCCACCCGCAGGCCACAAACACAACCCTTCTTCGCAAACACAACAGGCCTTCTTCAGCCCACCCGCAGGCCACAAACACAACCAGCCTTCTGCAGGCCACCCGCAGACCACAAACACAACCGGCCTTCTTCAGGCCACCCACAAACACAACCGGCCTTGTTCAGGCCACCCGCAGGCCACAAACATTCTTCAGGCCACCCGCAAACACAACCGGCCTTCTTCAGCCCACCCGCAAACACAACCGGACTTCTTGAGCCCACCCGCGGCCTTCTGCAGGCCAGGCCCGCAGACCACAAACACAACCGGCCTTCTTCAGGCCACCCGCACGGTACAAACACAACCGGCCTTCTGCAGGCCACCCGCAGGCCACAAACACTACCGGCCTTCTGCAGGCCACCCGCAAACACAACCGGCCTTCTTCAGCCCGCCCGCAGGCCACAAACACAACTAGCCTTCTGCAGGCCACCGGCAGGGGCCACAAACACAACCCTTCTTCGCAAACACAACAGGCCTTCTTCAGCCCACCCGCAGGCCACAAACACAACCAGCCTTCTGCAGGCCACCCGCAGACCACAAACACAACCGGCCTTCTTCAGGCCACCCACAAACACAACCGGCCTTGTTCAGGCCACCCGCAGGCCACAAAAACAACCGGCCTTCTTCAGGCCACCCGCAAACACAACCGGCCTTCTTCAGCCCACCCGCAGGCCACAAACACAACCAGCCTTCTGCAGGCCACCCGCAGGCCACAAACACAACCCTTCTTCAGGCCACCCGCAAACACAACAGGCCTTCTTCAGCCCACCCGCAGGCCACAAACACAACCAGCCTTCTGCAGGCCACCCGTAGGCCACAAACACAACCGGCCTTCTTCAGGCCACCCGCAGGCCACAAACACAACCGGCCTTCTGCAGGCGAGGCCCGCAGGCAGGCCACCCGCAGGCCACAAACAAAACCAGCATTCCGCAGGCCACCCGCAGGCCACAAACACAACCGGCCTTCTGCAGGCTGCGCGCAGGCCACAAACACAACCGGCCTTCTGCAGGCCCGCAGGCCACAGACACAACCGGCCTTCTGCAGGCCACCCGCAGGCCACAAACACAGCCAGCATTCCGCAGGCCACCCGCAGGCCACAAACACAACCGGCCTTCTGCAGGCCATGCCCGCAGGCCACAAACACAACCGGCCTTCTGCAGGCCAGGCCCGCAGGCCACAAACACAGCCAGCATTCCGCAGGCCACCCGCAGGCCACAGACACAACCGGCCTTCTGCAGGCTGCGCGCAGGCCACAAACACAACCGGCCTTCTGCAGGCCCGCAGGCCACAGACACAACCGGCCTTCTGCAGGCCAGGCCCGCAGGCCACAAACACAGCCAGCATTCCGCAGGCCACCCGCAGGCCACAAACACAACCGGCCTTCTGCAGGCCACCCGCAGGCCACAAACACAACCCCGCCTAGCGCAGCTTGCCAACACTCTGCCCTTGCAGCTGCGTCCAGGCCGGCTCCGGGCCTGAGAAGTGGGCATTTGACGCTGGCTCCCGTTCCCTGCACGGCCTTGCACAAATCCCAAAGTTTCTCGGTGCCCAATTTGTTGGTATTCCTTCGCTGGTGCCAAAATCGCAGCTTAGCTACACCCATCGAAGAACAAGGGGAAAGGCAGGCTTGGTGGCTTATGGCACTTCAGATGTTCAGTCCATCCAACCGGCAAGAGGAAAACATGAGCCAGTGTCAAGATACGCCGTTGGCCCGCCATTAACCTGCATGATCATAAACTCAGATTCAGCAAATGCTGGCGAAACCTCAGATGGCGAATCGTGCCTCAAATGGCACAGAGCCTAACAAGCATCTACGGTTTTTGCCCATGTCCATGTGTCTGATATCAGACATTTAAGCACAAGCCGTGTCATTTCAGTCAGCGGGAGAGAAGTTTGTTTGACGGACATCCCCTCAGTTGCGGGCCCACGCAGAGCCGCCATAGCAGCCTGCCAGCAGTGACCTGACCGCTTCGAACCATGCATGTCGCCGCCACCGCCGAAATCCGGATTTTTGTTGGGCTTGCGTCT